CTTGCGCTCAATTTTCTTCGACCATGAACCAAACTCACTCCATAGCCCATGGTGCTGGCTACAGAGTTTAGTTATGGTCACCACTAGGTTTTTAAAATTGAATTGGACAACGAATTGGACAGGGGTCCTATTCCTGGGTTGAATGGTTTGATTGATCAGACTGAATGGATGATTCATTCTGACAAAAAATTTAAAAAAATTAAAATAAATAAAAAACGGTCAAAACCATTGAATGGTTCAAACGGTTCTATTCGGGTCAATAGTTTGTTGACCAAATCAACGGTTTTTGGCGAAATAATGGTTCTAGGGTAAAACAGAACTGGTCACCTGACTGGTTCTCGGTTTTTCTGGTCTGATTATCCAGTTCGGTCTGGTTTTGTAAACCATGGACTTATGCATCTTGTACCATGTAGTCTCTCTAACTTTAGTAAATAGAGAACTTTCTTGACAAGGGGATCAAGGTGGAGAACGACTTAAATAAATCCAAACAGCAACACTCCCAGAAGCCAGAATGAGGGGGAACCGTTTGCTACGTAGCTCTTGCCTCAAGGATGGCTGGATTGAGTCACCGAGACCTAGCATTGGTCTATATCACTGTTGCACACCTTTCTCTATAATGATCCACTATGAAAGAAGTTATGGTCATGCTTCCAGTGAGTCTGAACCTATCTCTATCAGCAATTATTAGAAACTTCAGGAGAGCTTTTAGCAATTTACCCTTAAATCTTATAAATTCATTTTCACTCTTGTTGAATACAACCTAACACAAACAATTATAATCTTGTGGTTTTTATCAATGCTCTTTGTGTAGGTATATGTTGATCGCCACGATTGTGGGAGCACAAAAAGTGCTAAACCGATACCACAAGAACACTCGCGATGAGTCCATGACCCGACTCACAGCCAGATGATCTCAGAACCTGCAAAGACTTGCGATGAGCTTAACAAACCGTCGTAGACTTGTGATGAGCATAAAATACCACTCAGGACCCACGATGAATAATGAACGTCGCCTGAGACTTGCGATAGCATTGCTGATCTTGTCCTTTAACACGTAACCACTAGGAAACCCATAAGGGGACGTATCCTACACGTGCCATGAGAGAATCCATAAGAGAAAGGAAACTTTGTCTTCGAAGGATCTTGCTGGACATGTGACATAACCCCAGTGGTGCTCCCTTAATAGCCAATATAAAGATAATCATCCCTTTTCCTTATAGGAAAGGTCTCCTTTTAAATCTTTCTCCTTATAGCCTTGGGGTCCTCTCTGTAAAAGGGGAATAACTCTCCCCCACAACAGACGACCATGTAGCCTTAACCCTAAGGCTTCTTAGAGAGACTCTCTCACTTTGTCTCTTTCTCCTTTGCTCTTCTCCCACCATCCCCGACAACCATCATTCTCTCCTTTCTTCTTTCTTCATGACCACCCTCTCGGGGCCTTCGAAGATTCGACCTATCGCCAAGAATCCACGATAACTACACTTTGTGTTTTGATGTGGCCAATCTTTCTTTTTGACATTATTGATATCTTTTTTGCTCTAAAGGGGTAGCTCGTAGCCCATTCCCCAAACCCATGAACCCCCCAATCTAGGTGCAGGCTCGATTCAACCCTAAGTCCCCGCTATAATCAGCGGGATACCTTACCAATCAACTAGTTGCACCTTGCAATTAGACCTGTTCATGGGCTAGGTAGTTTGGCCTAGCTTGTTTTAAGTTGGGTCTAGACTTGATTTTAAGCCTATGGGTTCGGGCTCGGGCCCAATTATTTTGGTCCAAGTTTGGGCTTTCTCAAAAAAGCCTGACCTATGCCCGAACTCAACTTGATAATATAATAAAAATATATTTTATTTAATAAAAAATATATATACAATATTTCTTTTTTTGTTATTCTCTTTTTTCAAGTAATAGTGAGATCTTTTAATAATACACTATTTTATTGATTAAAAAAAGAAAGAAATTATGTTTTCAAATTTCTAGCCGGGCTCGGACCCAGACTTTGGGCTTTATATGAGGGTCAGGCTTGGACTCGTGCCTGAATGTTTTATTGACACATAGACAAAGCTCGGCTTGAACCTTGCTTGGTCCATGATCATGTCTACTTGCCATTTTATTGATATATTTGAAAACCTATCTGACTAAGTAGTCAATAAGAGTAAATCTTTCTTTTTTTGGTAGTAAAAATATCCGCCCCAAAAAGCTGCTTAGAATACAACTCAGAATGGGTAACCTACATCACATTTGGGAAACCCTCTCTACGGCTCGAAGAATAAGTTGCATTCCTTTCAATTTATTTTTGGAAGTGTTCAACCGAAACTAAATAATTGGAAAGTTAGCAACCCTTCTCAAGCTATTTTGCAATATCTTTCTAATCATGAATGTTCATTGTCCAACTGCCAAAAAAAAATCGGAGAAGTACGGACTGACCCAATGCAGATTTTTGATTTCCACTGCAGAGCTATAAACATTCAAAAGGTAAAAAATCCACACTCTATGCTTACCCACCCATGAATTGGCATCAATTCCGAGCTGGCACCTACCCCAAATGTACTTTGAGCCTACAAATTCTGACCATGGGCTGAACCGTCATTCCTCCCAAAAAAATTAAATGAAACCATTGACAAAACCTCCATTTGGGAAGAGTGTAAATACAAAAATGTTAGGTGCAAATACAAGCCCACTAACCATATCACTTGGCTCAACCCTTAGAATGGAAAATTTTCTACAAAAGTTCATTATATAGCTTATTAATATAAAATATTAGTTTTAATGAAAATTTTCTACAAAAGTTCATTATATAATTTATTAATATAAAATATTAGTTTTAATGAAAATTGATTATGCGTGATCTGAACGCTCTCTGTTGGAAGACAGTTCAGATGTCAGGCTAATGATGTGACCTGGTCGAGCTGCAAGACAAGAGAATCAGAGTGTTCTGGGGTTACCTGGTGTGGGCATTTCGATGCTTAAGTTAGCGATGGAGGTTTTTGAAAGAGTTGATAGCTTGAAAGCAAGAGAATGCTAGAGCTATATCGTGCATACCTTTGTTAGGTTGGAGGTGAAGGCTTTATATAGCTAAGCTGTCGTGAGCCACACGACGTGTGTTTGAGATCACCGGCCCATCTAACCCGGAGTTAGCTTTGCACCCGATGATGGACTCCAAGTAAGCTGATAAGACTTATCTAGGTCCGTTCGAATTGGGCGGGGTGAAGATAAGATCCGTTGACGTACACCGTGGTCCAGAGTAGATTAGAGACAGTTGGCTTGCTTCTAGAAGGAGGTTACGTGGCACCTCGACAGGTCGGTCGGATGTAGTGAACTGCTCGGGCCTCAGTCTAGCTGGGTGACCCGAAGTGCCCGAGGTGACTAGGATCGCTGAGGTGTCTGAGGTCGCTGAAATGTCACCACATTATTTGGTCACTCCACATGTCATCACATCATTGGATGGGCCAAATTATCCCTCATAAAAAACCATTGTCAATGTGTCAAAAAAAGAGAATTAGGATATTATTATTTATTTGTCCATTAGGAAAATTGAAAAACATAAACTGAAGAGAGAAAAACATTTTACTGGGTATTTCACCTCAATCTATTATCTAATATTGAGGAAACTGCTTTATACAAAACACTATAAAAGCTTGATAGTCTAAAGTGGGAGAAAATTTTGGCTGCCCACATTCAACAGATCAGCAGCCTAGGCTGTCAATAAGGCTCTCTTTATATGTGTGTGTTTGTGTAACATGATAGTCCACTCAGCAATGCATCCAACACCAATACTGTCATAAGGAGGCCTTATGAATTAACATATCATCAAGGAAGAGCACCGTTGACTGTCTAGGCTATTGAACTTAGGTAACTAACTTTTTTTCCTAAAGGTGGAACTTGCTGAGATGGCAAACTGAGAGAGCTGGGAACAATATAAGGCAAAGAGATTAGAAATGCAGGGTTGGAGAAAGGGAAAAAGGAGAGGCCATCTAACATAACCGGTTTGTTCATCATGCACGTGTTCACAATCTAATGGATGATTACTCAATATTGATCCCAGCCATGGTAGCCATGGCTGATTGGGTTTTACAATCCCCGTTCCCCTTGATGGGGCGGGGGTTTTCAATCCAATCCCTATTCCCCTTCATGGTGCCACCTCACCCATTCTTGGGTCAAATGGTCCAACCGGTTCATTTCGAATAGATGGTCCATTCTGATTTAAAAAATAATTAAAATAATAAATGGTTAAAAACCGTTGTTCGGGTCAATAGTTTGACTGTCCAGGTCAACTAATCACTTACCAAGTCACTGGTTTTTGGCCTAGTAATGATTGTAGGGTGAAATGAAACTGGTTGTCTAACTGGTTCCTGGATCAACCAGTCCAGTCATCCAGTCCGGTCCAATTTTCAAAACCATGATCTTAACCTTTGACATTTTTACACAGAATAACCGGCTATCAGACTCGAATCAACCTTCTCATACTTATACAGTCCAAGATTTTACCATTACACCACAATGGCCCAATGTGCTCACAATCTCTTAGAAATTGTTTTGTTCCTTAATGTTATGTTTGGTTTGAAAGGAAGGAAATTTGTAAAGGTTTTCTTACCTTTCCCTACTTTTTCCTTCAAACCAAACACAACAAATGAAATGGTTCTTATGATTTTAAGAATAGCTACAATTAATTTTCCTTTTTTTACTCAAATTCATTCTACAAAATTAATTTTTTGAAGCTAAAAATTTCTTCAATATATCAAGGGTGGACAAAGCCAAACCTTTATTAGTGAATACCTGACCTATCTTAATACCCTTTACATGCACAGTGATTATTTTGAGACCAAATGTAATCCCAACAACCGGTCTCAACAGGCATGCTGTACATTAGGAACATCTCACCATAGAGTATAGAGGACAAAGGAGATATTCCCAATGGAGGGCTGCAAAGTCTGTTGTGACTGGTTGTTGGCACTTGATCCGAACTAGATTATGTTTCTGTCATTAGAAAAATCTATATTTTTAATCTCTTTACATGAAAAGAAAAAAAAAACGAACAGTGCGGCGAAGCAACTGTGATACAACCAGTCAACCACCTGACCTTCCAACTAACCAACTAAAACTACACAGGATTCATGATTTTATTGAGGGTGAGAGATGGTTGTGGGTCCCTGTTCGGTAAAGGATGATCGTCATATTCTTGCCTGACGTGTGTGTTCTCCGCACCGTTTGCGGTGATTGGGGGAGATGCATGGTCGGCATAGAGAACCGATGCGTCCAATGCCTCCCGGCGTACGTTATCCTCGTGCTCTTGTAACCGTTGTGCGCGCAATGCTGTGAGATATAAGCCGGAAGCGAGGAAGACCGTTGTTAGTCCCGAAACTCCAGCAGCGGAAAATAAGCCTTCCCGGACAACGAGGCAACTCGTTCTCGGTCTACTCCACTCGTTTAGATGTCCCGATTCAATTCCGAGTCCAATCAGCAATATCACCTCCGTCACCGCAAAACACATCCTGCAGTGCAGCCGCGCTTTTTACATCAACAAACTAATCCAAATATTCTGGCCAAAATCAGCTTCAATCCCCAAATTAAAAAAAAAATAAATAAATGCAAAGGCTCGAATGCAATCCAGCAATCCTTAGTAATCTATCAAGGGATGAACAAAGATCATTCCTTCTTCGATCATGAGTCATTTTAACGGATAATAAAAATTGAAGGGGACCCACCGAAGAAGGTACAAGTAGACAAGTACAATGGATTATTAAGAGGTTGTTTGGCAAGATTTTTTAAGTAGATAAATCAGATCAAAAGACATTATCAAGTTTTTTGGAGCTTGTCTTTCACTAAGATTCTCATCTACTGGGCTGTTAACTGAAAGGTTTTATGCTGCATTTGAGTGCGTGTATTTATCGATGTAAAAATGCATTAATGTTTTGTCAATAAAATGAGAAGTGTGATTAACTATGTAAATATTTACATCAATTTTATTGATGTTGTATTTAAGTCGATACACTCCATCCAATTTCCAAACACCAATAAATATGGATCGAAGTGTTTAATTACACCGGTCCTTATTTACACCACAAACTAATGCTTTCTAAATTGTCATTAATTCAGACGGTCGGATTAGGAATGGCAACGGGGCAGGTTCGGGTGGGGATTACATTCTCCATCCTGACACCAATTCTCCATCGGGGAAAGAAATGCTCCTCCATCCCTGACCCTGTCAAGAATGAGTTCCCTATTAGAGACCTGAATCCCTGATTGTTTGAGAGAGACTTCAGACATGCGACTTGCAAGTTGTAAAGTTTCACATCTATAACATCTCACATCTGTTTAAGATTTCAAAAATTAGAAATCGGACTTGTGAGCATTGAATTGAGAGAGAGAGAGAGAGAGAGGACCGTTGCAGACTTACAGCATTACCTCATCTGAGAGAGAAAGAGAGTACCAACGGTGACTACTAATTATTGAAGACAATACCGACGACGACTACTGATTATTGAAGACAATAGACAAAGAACGGAAGAAGAAGGGTAGGGTTTTGAGTTTTAGGTGCTGCTAGCGCAAGTTCTTTTCTATGTTCTTTCTTCTTTGTGTGTCGAGTTAATTAGTTTAGGTAGTTGAAGAAGACTCTCGAGAGTTGAGAGTTTTAAGTTTTTGTCTTTTACTCTTTTTGAGTTTTTGCTATTATATATATATATACATTCCCCACCCCTATCCCCGAATTCAATCGGGGATTCTGTTTTAGCCCCATCCCTAACCCCAACCCCGCCAAAGCACTCCCCATACCTGACCCCACCAGGTTGAGAAGCCCAAGTACCCATCGGGGACAGGGAAAATTGTCATCCCTAAGTCGAACTATTCGTCTGGGAAACCGTCCAGGCAACCTATTCCATTTTATCCCAAACCCAATCTCTGACCAAAAACCATTGAATTGGTCAATGACTTGTTGACCCAAGCAATCAAACCATCAACCTGTTCGACCCATTCAACGGTTTTAGCCATTTTTATTTTAATTGTTTTTAAATTTTTTATCAAAAGGGGTCAATCATTCAAATCATACGGTCAACCATTGACTCAAAAACCAATGGCCAAAACGGTTCAGGTTCTGGGTCATTTTTTAAAACATTGCCACTAACAAATGCAATCTTAGGGAAAAAGCTTCATTAGGTAGTGTCATGTATATGGAAAAGATATGATATCTGAAAATTTCCTGACCAGTCAACTGGAATCATAACTTAATAGTCAATCAAGCGCTATTTATCAAAATTCATGAATGCGATTTTGATTGATCAAAACTCTTTCCATACCATATCTTTTCCGCATCATAAATTTTCCCATATTTCAGTTTATAGAAAGCTCATAAAACCACCCAAAAACAAATACATGAAAAGACCAAAATATTGAAAATCGGAAATCTTGAAACTTTTTTTCTACGCCTAAAAAATAATCTTCCCAACTATTTTTAATAGCCCTAAATTTTAATCAATCAAAACCGACCCATCAATTTTGATAAATAACACCTGATTGGCAACGTTTATGATTCGAACCCAGCCCATAGCCCATAGCCATTATGGTTGTTAGTCACCGACAACCTCAGTCCATCTGAATTCAGATAAACCCTGACGTAAAGTTTTCGAACTCCCCAGTCGAGAAAGGAATTTGAAACGATAGCAGAGAAAGCTTACAAAGTTGTAAGAAAGAAGAATCCGGCTTGCCATGAAAGGGACCGGGAAAGGCAAAAACCCGAGTTGTTCAAAGCAATCAAGGTCGAGGGTATTAAGTTGTTGTAAACTGCAGCATGTATGTATGCATGTTCCACGATCATGGCGATCGCTAGGCTCAGAAATGCACCGCCGGCGCACAACAGCGGAGTCTTCCCGCTGTCGCTGTAAATACATGCATGTCTCCGTTCTTCGTTACTGCTCAAGAGCATCCATGTCACCTGCAAGGTAGAGGTAGAGTATAGAAACGACCAACCAAAATTGATTAAAAAATGAAATTACTTCAACCTAGAATTGGTATTACAAGGGATTTAGGTATAAAATTGCATACATCGGATCTGGTGGTTTCGGCAAGGAGGCATAGAATGAAACACAGAAGTCCGCAGAGTATAGAAACGACCAAAAGGAAAGCACCAGTTTTGCTGCCGAGATCGGTGCTTCGACGACTCGAGGCTAGATCGGCATGCGTGACTGCCATTCTCTACCAACTGTTTCTGACTTCGGAAGAAGATATCACAGCTTGGGAAATGATGAACAGGGGAGTTGCTGTTGCTCTCAAACCGAGAATAAGAGGGAGAGAATCAGAGAATAACGAATGAGACGGAGATAGCGAATCGGATTTCTTGCAAACAGAGGAAAGAGTTGAAAGTTTGCTTAAAGAGTGCGGATTCGCGGAGTTTAGGCATTAATCGTATGTATGTATTTGCACACGCCACACGGACGGTCGAGCATTAAATTGTTGTTCGTGTCGCGCAATTATATAATTAAAGAAAAATGAAAAAGAATGAAAGACAAGAGTTTGTCGAAGCCTCTTAAATCCCTAATTCCTAAATGAATTATTTTTTGTGGTGGGGTTTTAAAACCAGCAAAGAATAGAAGCCTCATATCTTCACCCACCACCGTCCAAGGCGTACCCTTTTCACTACCACTGTGAAACCTTCCAGTAATAAGCACTCATCATGCATCTCAATGCTTTATTCTGTAATATTTGTTCAACCACATCGAGCTTAGGTTTCGGTTCAGCCTAGACCTATCCCGAACAGGTTTGCACATATTAAGCCCTCGGGCTTGGGTTTGAGATTTTACATAAAAGTCCGGTCTGATAATATTATATATATACTAGCAGGGACCCGTATGATACATGGGCTTAATATGTCCAAGTCCAAGCCTAGTCCGCTTAGCAGGTTGGATTTTGAGAATCCAAATCCTTCTCATATTCAAGGATGGGGTGGGTTGGGTTTAAAATCCACATCTAATTTTCTATTATTTTTTATTATAAAAAAATAATAAATAAGTAAAATCAAATAAATAAACAATAAAATTTCTAATTATTTGATTAAGATGTAGAAGAACACAAACTATTAATTATCCTTTACATCTAATTCAAAATATTATTAAATTCAACACCTAATACATAAAGTTTATATGCTTTCCAATAATATGTAGGTTGAGGGGGTCGGGTTTAGACTAATACTATACCCTACTTGTAATGTATTGGTTGTAGAACTCCAAAACCCGATTTTCCCCAAAATCCATCCTTCAAAAAAAAAAATGGCCCGTCGAGGTGAGTAGGGGTGGATTGTCACCCCTAAGCTTGAAATGCTTAATTAAGATTGAGTTGGGCCTAGATTGGTAAACTCAAGCTTAACCTTGAATTGGACCAAGCTTGAGCTTGAGGTTTGAGGCTTAGGATTGGATTGACCCTCAACCCGACCTAACCCACTCAAGTTGCACCTAACAGGACCCCATGTGATGCACATGCTTTGTTAAGAGAAAGCTAAACAATAAAAGCACGTAAGAGTATACAATTGTTTTATATTTTAACTTTTTAAATAATTAATAATTAGTTATTTTTATATACTACTTTGAATAATTTTTTATAATACAAAAATAACAATAATTAATTTTAGCTATGTTGTTCATCAAACCGGTGAAATCGACCAACATGGCCCAACTCAACTTGAGTTGGTCATTTTTCTAGTATTTTTGGTGGGTTTTGGTTTAGTAATTTCCCAACCTAACCAAGTCGGGTCAATTTTGGTTTGGCCATTTGTAAATCAATAAAAACCAAACTGACCATATATATTTTAAATATAATTTTTAATATGAAAAAGTGGAAAAATTCTCATATTCCTTAGTCTAAAATATTTTACATTGTAAATTTAAAATTTTTAATAATACCATTGTGATTTTTAAATTTAATTTTTTAAGTTTAAATCTTTTGAACCAACCAACCAAACTGAAAATTGACCCAAACCAATATAACCTAAATTGGCCAGTTTTCACTAATGGTTGGTTAGTTTCGGATGACCAACTCCCCAACCCGACTAGGTCAATTTGGTTGGCCAAACAACATGCAACTGAACTGAACCAACCCCTGAACACTCCTAATTTTAACTAAACTAATAGTTTAATCTCTAATAAACAACAATAGTTTAGTCTACAATAATTACTGAAATTTTATATTATATAACAAAACAAAAATAGTTTTTTACATAATTATTGAAAATTACTATTAATAAATATCAATTTTCTGAAAGTTATTTTCTAGAATTATTAATTGATATAAGTGAAATAATGTTTTTACTATTACTACATCAATAATTGCAATTATTATTATATTTTTTAATATCTATTAAAACATTTTTTGAAAGTTATTACCTATTTTTGTTATTCAAAAGCTTCAATACCTCTAAATTATTTAATCTATTTTTCATTATTTCAATAATATTTAGAGAAATTAAATTATTTATATTTTATATTCTTATTATGAAATATTATTAAATCTATTATAATTATTTTTGTGTTTTTGATAAAATTTTTAAGGTAATTTCATAATTTATTTAATCTATTTTATTTCTTTTTAAATAACATTTAAGGATTTAGTTATTAATTTTTTTAATATTTAAAATATTTAAAATTAGTTATTTACAATATTATTTATCTATTTAAATATTATCATTATTTAGTTATTTCAATATTACTTTTTTGTTGAATTTCATAATCCATAAAATTATAAGTTATACTATTATTACATAATTTCGTTCTTAATTTTGTAAATTATTATTAATTCAAATATTATGAAACCTACTATAACGATTTTATACTTTTAATAATTTTTTTTTAAGTTTATTACATAATTTCATTATTTTAAATATTTAAAATTTAGTTATGTTAAAATTTTCATTATTTAAATATTAAATAAAATTCAAAATATTTAAAAATTTTCATTATTTAAATTTTATTTATTTTTAACTGATTACATACTATTAAATATTTTTTATTTATAATATTTAGTTATTGAAATTTTTGAATAATATTTTTTTAATTTTTAATTTTATTATTTGAATAATATTTAAATTGAATAATTCATAAAATTTTAATTTTTATTGTTAGTACATAATTTTGTTATGAATTTAATAAAAGTATAAAATTATGAATATTATTAAATATATGATAATTTTTGTGTTTTTAATAAATATTTTAAAGTTATTACATAATTTCATTATAATATTTAATTAATTCTTAAATTTTCTTAATTCAATCTTTTGTTTGATAGATATAGATGAAAAGTCGGGGATAGGATAAGTAGGAATTAGAGATAATTTAGGAGATAATTAGGGATTATAGATAATTTATGAAAAAGTGGGGGATAGTGGTGCCACTTGGCTAGATTAGATTAGATTTTGGTAGAGAGAGATTTTAGGAATGGTTTTTGGAAGAGATATCAGAAAGGATAAACCTAGAGGAAAGAGGGATGGGCCATGGCTTCATGAGGGAGCAAGGCTAAAATGAAGAGGGGCTGAGAGTTCTCGGTTGGGGTAAGAGAGAAAGCTCAGGCTCTGAGATGGCATTTTTCTATTTTAGTATATATATATAATTAAAAATATAATAATATACATATTATTTTCCTAAATGCCTAACCCTAACCCTTCTACATCACAACCGGCAGTAACAACAGTGAGCGCCTGAGTGGTATCATCTTTCATCTCCTTCAGTTCTCCGGCAAGGTGACACCCCATCTCCCATTCTCTGATCTTTGAATATACATTAACACAGCCACAGGCTAGAGGCGACGTCCCCATTCCCCAACAGCAGTCGACAGCATTTACAACTGCACTCTGACAAGCGGCAACCAATGACAGAGAACTCCGTCAGGTCTCTCTCTCTCTCCACTCCAGTTCACCAACCCTCCTGAAATCATTTTAGTTTAGACTTCGGCTCGAGCTTTTATAAAGGCCAGGTTCGGGCCTAAGATCTAGGTTTGATGGTTAAGCTAGGCTCAAGCTACGTTAATAACAGGTGAAAGCCCGGCTCGGCCCGGCCCAGCAAGTTGATTAATGTCATTTACTGAATATTGCATCTATACAGCGTTAAAGAACAAGGCAGGTTGATAAATGCCTCATTTACTGGACAAGTTGACATATGTCATAACCTTCTACGGAAATAAACCACACGCCCATACATTAAGTTACAGTCGCAAACTTGTTCACAGGATCATTCTTACTGCATCTGAACTTTGATGCATTAATGAGATAATAGGAGAACATGCGACCCAATGTACCCTTGCATTCGGTACAGTACAACAGTGGGAGGACCATCAAGAGAGAGAGAGAGAGAGAACAAAACAACCCCTTCCTCCAGACTAGAAGCAAATTTACAATTACCCCGAGTCATAAATTTGTAGAGACATCGGTTGATACTTGGTACTTCGCTTAATAACCAAGTTGCAAAAGCCTTGCCCTTCTTCTAGCAGCTAAGTCTGATATTCCCCATTTTACTGCAGCCCTAAGCTTAAACCACCCCATGTTGGGTTTACAACTCCTAGAAAAATGAACATAATCAGGTAGAGAAGAAAGAAAATTAATGCCTGTGTCATCACTTGAACCGATAAACAATCCATTCCCTTGTCCCCACGTTGCAGGAAATGGAAACCAACTCTGGAACTGAACCTGAGAATTGTCATTCCCTACCAAATGCCCGCCTGGCACTACAGACCCATCTGACCCACCTGAAACCCATTCACTCATGGCATTTCCATACGGTTCACTGAAATAATCTCTCATGCCGGAATCATCCCTTCCTATTGATGTAAACAGTTGCACCGAATGACACTCTTGCATGTTACCAACTCTGGACTGAGAATGATCCTCCAGAATGAATGTTGATGGGTTATCCAAATGATCGATGGCTGGTTGTGTTGCTTGTTTATCTGCAGAAAATTCTGGTCACATACAAATTTAAAAAGTCAGAATTCAGAAGCAGAGAGGGGGACGAAGGGGAGAAAGAAGCATAGAAAAGCAATGGAAGCATAATAATTCAAAGAACACAGGACTAAACCTGAGGTACCTATCTGGTGACAATGTCAAGACAGTCCATGGCATAGCAGTTCAAACAGAGGATACGGGATGAAATGGGAAGGGATCCCAAGCAAGTAATTGGTATCAAACAATCCTCTGAACCAAGCTGGATGCATCATTGATGAACCAACTTCAATGGAGTGGACCATAGGATGGCAAACATATGAGGTAAACCCTTGCCCAAAGGCATAGGAAGGATGTATGGATGTAAGAGTGGGATTCCTTTTGAATTTTTTCCAAATGATGCTTACTATCCTCATGTACCATCCTAGAAGAAAATCAAGGTTAGACATGGGAATATTGGCCAGTATGACTGCCTGAAAAATCAAGCAAGTGCCTCTTGTCAGGTTTTCCTAGGCACTCTACTGCTTACCATTGAAAATGCACATGGTCCCCTCAACACTAATTGAAAAGATATGTGGACGTTCTCTTTATCACAATTTTTTTCCTGATCGTATGATATATTAACTGATCAGCCAATGCCATTCTTCTGGCCCATTTAGTGATATCTGATAATGAATCATATAGGATTGCCTGAAGATGGACATATCCATGACTTCCACTGGTCATCCACAGGTAAACACTAGACACTCTGGTATCCATCAATAATACTGGGCCATTGTTGAAATATTCTTGCATTCTACCAAACAGATGCATTTGAAGTTGCCTTCTGGGAATACCTTGCATTGTAAACAGGAGATCAGGATGTTGGATATCCAGGGTTGGTCCTGGAACAGCTCCAACTTGCAGTAGAGACAAATGCCTCAAAGGACCATCATTGGGTGGTTCGTCAATCTCGAATATGTTACTAACATTCTTGTAAGCATGCTTTTTCAAACTATCAACCAAGATCTGCCAATGGAAAGGTGGAGTTGATCAGTCTCAAAACAAAACATCAAAAACAGACCCCATTCAGATGGATCTAAATAATGGACAACTAAGATGGGGAGTATAAAATACATTCGCGTTCAGAATGAATAACTATTTAAGATAAATCCTGAAATTGAATCTTTACAAGATTGCGTGGCTAGGGATGAAATGCATTAGAGCATATTGTCTTGCATGTTTATCCTTTGAGATAGCCTATGGACATATTTATGTGGATTCACTTTTATTTGAATTATAGCAGTTGCTCTAACAGTTCTCTTTAGTCTCCTAGTGAGTGGATATTTGTACTCTGGATGTTCTGCCTCTTTTAATTTTTTTTTTTTTTGGGTTCCTAATCAACTAATCATAAAAGAATATACATGGATCTGAAACTCATATATGATATATCAGGTTCAATGACCTTTTTTTAGCCCAATAGGTGCAGTTCAAACATAATCAGATGGAGGAATGTATTGTAAGTTCAAATTGAACTTCTTTAAAGTTCAAAGTGAACTTCTTTAGACCAAAACATGCAATTAAAAAGAATTTCAAAAAGACAGTATTGGAATACAAGGGCCATTGGTCCAACTGAGTTCCCAGAGAAAAAGTACATACCATCTGAGATGCATTGAGGTCAGCTAGAGAATGGTAATATTCATCAAATGTTGCCCCAATAACCTTGAAGATGGAATTAAAAATTAGCCCAATCCTTCGTTCAGCATTATAGTACATGTACAGCTTATTATCTAGAACACAAGCTGTGGCATGTTGCACAATTATGTCCCATATCTTATTTGACATCCCACCAAGAATCTGCAATTTGCATGATGAACAGTCAATACAAACAAAAATTTGATGAAACAAATACAACTGCTTTTTTCGTCATTGTGGTTCAACCAAGAGATTAGTTTCTTACACTGCGCAGCAAGGACTGGTCGGTCACATACAGCCGGAGGAAATCCTGCACTGTGTTAATTCCTTTAGAAGCCAGCCGTGTATGAAATGCACCATCTTTCCCTATCTTCTCCAAACGCCAGACTTCATCATTGAAGGAAGGAGGATGATACTTCTTGTACGCTGAATAAACAAATCAAGATTAGTCCCTATATTACTTGAAGTGCCTATTATGAAAATATCATCCAATTTTATATTTTTTGGTCTCTAAGTTCTGAGATTAGTATCCGCCAAAAAAAAACAAAGTTCTGAGGTTGAGTGAGACAAGTGTGTTCAATGAATAACATATTGGCAATATTGAAAGACTGAAATGTAGTAAAATATAATCCACTGAACTTGGAAGGAAAGAAACAAAGAATGCCCTCTGGATTCTATAGCCCCTCCAAGTTGTAAGTCCCCATGATGAACTGAGCACCCTCATTAATAATGTGCATTGAAAGACAACATTACCCCTGTTAATTGTTCAAATGTGTCAAATAATTGGGGTGATTTTGTATTTTCATCACGCTTGATTGAGGGATACTCTGTTCAGTCAGTGGCCTTTCTTTTTTATTAGCCTAAATTCAAGAAAAATTGCAAGGTTACTCAAATGGATGAGGGGTAGTTATTGTCTCCTTGCTTTCTTCCTTCTCAAACAAAGAAAATCCCACCAATTTTGTAAATATAATTCTCATCAGGGAAAAGCTTGATGAGCTAAAGAGGGAAGCTGAGAACGATTTTAATATGTCAACTAGACCAAAGAGAACCCAAATAATGGAATGATATGGATAAAAAGATTTAAAAAAACAAAAAAAGAAAGAAAGAAAGAATCCAATGCTCCTAGGATATCACTTGACATAAAAATGCTTATGTTTCTACTTGCACAAGCCAGATTTTCCATTATGTTTATTAGCATAACTGCATAACAGATCTGTATTTGACAATGAAACCAGGCAATAATCTCAATCAAGGTTTAAAGTATTGATACACCCCAATGCACGGTTTTTAAAACTGACCTGGAGACCGAACCGGTCAGGGGTCCGGTTACCGGGTCAAACGGTTAACTGCCCGGGTCAGCGGTTTGCTGACCAAAATCAACGGTTTTTGAAGAAAATCCGGTTTTGGGGAAAACCCAAACCGGTCACCTGATCGGTTCCCAGTTTTTCCGGTCCGACCGTCTGGTCCGGTCCGGTTTTGAAAACCATGCCCCAATGTATCAGCAGGAGTGTATATGCATTTTTTTAGTTTTTTGTCAAAATTTCTTTTTATATATGTTTTTATATTATTTAATAAATAAAAAGACTTGGTTTCCTGAAAACACCTTTAAACAAGTGTATCAGAAACCCAACGATACGATACAATACACCCAATACAGGGCGTATCATATCGATACTTTGAACCTTGACCTCAATTACCAATAACACTACAATTCAATGCAACTAAGCAATCTAAATTGTCAAGGGGGGGGCATTGACATGTGAGTATTGTAACATTTAATTCAAATCAAACTTACCATAGTAAAAAGATTGCCTAAAAAGTTATTTTTTCTTTTAAATTTAGGAGAATTATAAATCTTTTGAGACAGTGGCTTCATATGAACAATTTCCTAGATAAAACAAGTTGTTATATCTCTTCAATTTTCAAATGGGGACTACAGTAAAAAGTTAATTTTATAAAGATATTGAACTTACACTCTCCACGATGATCTTTTACAATAAAAGCTCCACTTCGTGCTTCTCTAATTCTTTCTTCACCACAAGTGCTTCGCACAGCTCTAGCTCCTAACCTAAATTTTCGACTTCGTATCCAGCTGGAGTTATCTGTAAAGAAGATTTCACCAAGATGGCCAACTCCATTCCTAAGTGTAATTACCAGATCTCCAGCCACCAATGGCCTTTTCCCTTCTCTTTCACAGATTACACTCTTATTGAATTCCTTCTCAGTCCATTCTTCTTGTTCATCCGTGTCAAAATCACCATCAAGGACAAGAATCTCTATCTTGATTGAAGATAGAGGACCAGATTTGATTATACTTTTAGTACTAGCATCAATGATGACTATCTCAAGTGGATCACCATTCTCAGATTCTATCCGGCTGCCTGTGAAAAGGGTACCTGGCAATCCATTGACAAAATGCAACTGCCAGCCTCTTGATCCAGATGCCTCAATCTGATTGAGAGGATGCCTACAATAAAGTCACCGTGAAAATGAGATTATATTATAATTAGTGGATAAATGGTAACCTACAAAAAAGTCACCAATGAATAAAGTGGCACAAATATGCAGACCTATGTGTGCACAATCAGGTTGTGCAAGGAAATCATGACAAAAGCCTTCTAGGGCTGGGCAAAGCCATCATGACAAAGAAACATTCATTTTGAAAAGATAATAAGTAAAATAATCATTAGAGGCATTAAAACCATAGTGCCTTCAAATACAATTTAAAGTTATAACATTGGATCATTGCTCCATTGCGACCTGGGTGACCAGGGTTCAAATCTTGGAAACAGCCTCTCTGTATGTGCAGGGGTAAGGCTGTGTACATCTGTCCCTCCCCAGACCCCACATTGGCGGGAGCCTCGTGCACTGAGCTGCCTAACATTGGACCATATATATTAGCAATGGTATTAAAGAAGATCTAGCTTGAGAGATGGACCTCAGAACAAGCATGAATACGAAGTAGGTAATCGTGCTTTTATAATTTGTTGTGTTCAGTATAAAAAAAAAAAAATCCCTGGTCTTAAAATGGATCAATTGTAATGGAACCACTGATATCTGACACAAAACACTTACTTTGGAGATGAGTGTATATAGAGCAGCATTCCACGCTCCACCTCCTCCCGGACCTAATTAGCAGATAAAAAGGTAGAGCAGATTTAAGTCATATACTTCAAAGAAGCAGCTCAATATCCATCTAGCTCCTTCACTAGATATTTCCAACAAAACATGCAAAAGCCAATTAGAAAATCACCATACAAAAAGCAAATCCATTCAGGTAAAAGATGGACCATTTTCAGACATCGCTAAACAGAGAGCGAGTAAGATACAACGACATTCTATAAACCACTATCCTCATTTATTCAATTTCAAACAAGCTTAACACCCTCATTTATCTTACCTAAACAAATCAAATACAAAATAAGGGAACTAAAACACATTATTGTCTACAGAAGCTATGCTTAACTTTGATGCCTACAAATGTATATGGTTAATTCAATGTTCACAAGAAAGATCTGGTTAGATTGCTTAGAGAAATGGAGCACTCCCCAGCATATGATGCATGTGAAGTTAAACAAAGATGTTGCTGATCAAAAAAAAAAAAAAAAAAAATTAAACAAAGATGCTTAATGGCTTTAATTAGACTTCAGAGTAGATCCACTATGCATTATAACTTTACTAGAAGCTGTGGAAAACAATGAATTCAAGGTACATAAAATCATGTTGCCCACAAGATTAGTATTATAAACAATTATCGGAACATGCAGATAGCTTATCATTTGATGGTCAAAATCATTTAGAAGAAGATGCTCAACCAAGAAGAAGTCATCTAATAAAAACCTTAATTTTCACAGTTTCTCTGCTGTGAAACTATCAATTATTCTCCAATTTACAAGACTTCAGAAACAACAATAAAGACTACCTCCACTATCTGCACCTAGATGGACTTGTTATCCATCCCAAGGAATCTGGAGAGGGAGTTAATAAACCATGGATATAAACCCTCAAATCAAGTCTGGCTTTCCCATGGATCTATTAATCATATATAATATGCGAGTTAGAAGCAAAACTTCCAAGTTTAATACAGCCCAATACTTTTCCTTCAATAAAGATATATATGATTGGCAGATCCATCCTCAACTGACATTCATGTGGAGCTAGAGACCTAAAATTAGGACCAGTGCAACTCAGAAGTATTTTAGATTAAAATATTATAACTTTTTTGTGGGAAACTCCAATACAAGGTCAGTTACAAGGCTGATGTGGACTCTTGGGAAGTGCCAAAGTGGATGTGATCAATCTAGAGGGGCCCTACACAATGAACAGTTCAAATAAACGAAATATTTCCTCCATGCAGCAGGGGGGAAGAATTGGATTTGTCTGGCAACCTTCCCTATGTGACCTGAGTAGGACTTTTTCCTTATATATAATGGAGTGGTTTTCAGACAAGGAATAAACCACCAAAGGCACAGCCATTCCTGGGAAAGGGGGAGAAATGCTTTCATTAACATGACCAATAAGAAAAGGGAGAAAAGTGTCAAACAGTTAGTGAACCCTAAAATGTAACAGGAACACAACAGCAATATGACTGTTCAATTAAAATTTTTGGAACAGAATAGCTTAACTTCAAATTCCGAATTTAAGCTGGATGGAAAGCAAAGATCTAAATATGAAGATATTTTTAGAAGACAAATGTTGATACAAGCCTATGTACACAAGAAGCTATACATTAGTAAGGGCCCAAAAAGACAATCATGTGTTAAACTATCTATATTCTATACTACCCAAAAATACCAAGCATGAGGTAAATACCAAGATCTTTTGCACAACAGACAACTAAATAACGGGAAAAGTGCAGTTTCTCAATATCATACTAAATTAATAATCATCAACAACAACCACAACCTCATGTCAGGTGGAATAAGAATGAAGAAAAAAATGAGTATTGGTTTCAATTGAGTAGCATCAAAAGTTTCAAAAACCTTTAGAGAGTAAATATAGCTAAATTCTTGAAATACTGAGATGAACTTAACAGCTTTTGGTTCATTAAATACAAACAAAAAGGAAGAATTGTCCTACCACATTTCTCAGAAAAGGTTCCAACTTGGATAAGAAATCTTGCATAGAAAGACCCCTCATTACCTCTCTTACAGCACTGTCAAACAGCACAAATACTTTAAGAAACATAGTCGAACAGCTAAAGGACATAAATTGAAACATTTATCACTAGAGTCTAAATTAACACCCACGTCGCAAGCGTATGTCGACGCTTTGATGTCTGAACTGGTACTTCCAAGGCATTATTCTCAGCATGAAAATATCTCTTGAGTGCCATTGAGCAATCCCAAAAAAATAACAACTGTATCAAATAGAAAACAACCAAAACTCCAGAGCCCCGATCTTACCAACCTATAACTTCGAACTCGAACCGGAAAATCCAACACAAGTACTTAAATCTAAAAGTAAACAACTCAACCGTAGCGAAGGTGCACGGAAGCCTCACAGAAGACGTGAATAACACGCTCACAAAAGTTTACTAGAGATCAGTTAACTGGTAAACCAACAAGAACCATAAAAAATAATGTTTAATTTTCGCTTCTCCAAATAAAACAATTATACAAGGATAAAATTATCTTCTTGTATATGGTGGGCACATTGAACGAATAATCCGAATCAGACATTCTACAACCCTAAAGTAAAAAGTCAACAGACTAAATCATGCAAGAACCGAAAAGGTTATTGGGAGAGGGAGAGTATAAATTCAGTAAATAGCAAAAGAAGGGAAATAGATAAAATAAAAATTGGGTAACAAGCATGTGAAAGAACACGTTAGCATCCACGCGTACCCGAGCAGATCTTCTACCAAGAGTAGCTGCAGCGAAGGGAGGTGGAAGTTGCAGAGAAAGTCCACAACGCGCTTTTCTTCCGTAAAATGACAGCATGAAAGGGACCCAAATTCCATGGTGTTTGAATTTCTCCCACTCCAAGTGGTTTGAATTGAAACCCTAAATTAAAACTCAAAAATATGCAATACATTAGATGGGTAGAAGATCGAACCCAGGATTCTAGTTCCCTGTACAGGTCATTGTCCATTGTCTCCCGCATTCTTCTGCTGTAAAAAGGGAGTAAACCAGTTTTTTGAACCCCTGCTCCACATAGAGGAAGGAGGATAAGAGATTCTGAGGCGTCTGTGGGATTGATGTTGTTTTTTTTATGGATTAAAAGACGAAGTAAATAATAAAGTTGGATCGTCGTCTCCCGTAGATTGTAAAGCACATTGACTTGTCGAGTTCTCTTTTGTGTCACGAAAATTCCCGTTTACAGCACCATCGGTATCGGTAGGTCAGTGCTTGCGAGTCAGCGACTTAGGTGGGGTTTTGTTTTTCCGGATATCTTGCATAGTTTCAACGTGGGCGGGGCGGTAAATTTGGACTTTGGACAAGTCCTCAGTGTTGGAAAAAGGAAAATGTTTACATCTCCGGCGACTGAAAACTACCTGGAAAAGCTGGATTGATGTTGGAAAAAGTAAAACGTCTACATCTCCGGCGACTAGAAACTACCTGGAAGGCTGGAATGTAAACTTAGATTGCAGACCTGCGGTAAGTAGGGATGCAATCAGATTGGATAAAATCCAAATTTGATTCGTTCATATTCCGATCCAAAGTTGAATTATTACATTGGGAACGAGTTGAAGTTTCAGGTTTCAACCATCCATGTTATCTGTTGAAATTCTTAAATCTGATTGAACTGGCGAATTTAACAAAAATTGCAATCCCTCCACCAATTCTTATTTAGAGCTGGTTTGATAAATGCAATTGACTAAACTGACTTATTCATTCGTCGCTTTCTATAAAAAAGGCTAAATTACAAGGTCCCTTGTTTTGCGACAAATACCCCCTGGGACAAGGATCCCTTCCGTTAGTTTTCCATTGAAATAATTATTACCTTCTAATCCCCACATTACCCTTTTAATAATTATTGGACAATTGAGAGAAAAACATTGTTCATCTTCACCAATCTCACGATATACGAACAACAGCGGTGATAATCCCTTCTTTCTCATATTCATTCACATTTCTCTCACTCTTCCTCAATCTCTCTTCTTCCCTTTCCCCTTTCTCTCTTTCCCTTTCTTTTTCCCGCTTTCCTCTACTTTTCGTTACTCTCGGCCATAGTCACCACAATTTTTTTTTTTGACAAGTGAAATGTTTTAAACCAACATTAAACATTTAGTGAGTGTGTGCATGGCTCCACCACCTCGATGGCAGCTTCTCTGGTGACTCGTGCACCCACTACCTCAACTCTAACACAACAGACATCAACTGTGTTGTTTTTTCTCCTCCCCCTTCTCGGAAATCAGTTCCTTGTTATTCTACTTTTGGTTTTGGTTGTTCTTGACTTCTTTCTCCCCCCTCCTTATGCTCTGTCAAACAATTAATAAGGACAAAGCTTTAACAACAAGAATTTTAGAAACCCAGAACCCCAATTCTTGAGATTAAAAAGAAAAAAACGCGTTAATCCATCTTTGAAACGTTGGATGGAGAAGTTCTTGGGTGGGTCAAGAGTCAGACAAGACAAATTGGAAGGGAAAAAATGATAGTTTAATGCTTGGGAATTTTGTTCCTGCACGGTTGCTTGGGAATTTTGTGGTGGTTGGGTAGGCGGTAATAAATGGTAGTTTAATGCTTTCTTTAATGCTTGTACTTATTAAATATATAGAAAGAGTAGGGGAAGCACGTGGTTCTTCTGTTGCTCACACATAGCAATGGTGAATGAGGATTTAATTTTGGAGATTGTAATTAAATTGGTTCTCACCTGCTCTCTTTCTCTCTTCCTTCTCTGGCAATGCACATCTAGCTGGGTGAGCATTCGGTTTTTTCCATTCAAAACCGAATCAAAAAAATCAAAATTTCAAAAACCGGATTAGCTAAATAACAAACCGAACCGAAACCGGAATAATGAAAAACCAAATAAACTGAACCAAAATTTTGTTTCGGTTCTAACCAAAATATTTTTTGTATAATTATTTAAATTTCAATAAATTTATTAAGTGGATCGATTAATTTGAAGTTATGAATTTTGAACACAGATGCCATAAAAAATAGAAAATAGGAAAAACAAATTTGGCAACAATGCCAAAACCCAAAAGAAAATTAAGTAGGCTGGGCTGTACCGCTTTGGGCCTTGCTGCATTCTTAGCTAGTTAGCTTATAGGATATAAGCCAATACCAAACATCTACAGAATAGAAGAAACATAAGTTCTAACAGCTTTTGCTTTCCTTTATGCTCACCCTTACAGTCAATAGCTAATGATTTAACTCAGTATTGTTTAACCTTAGATAAGTAAAGGATCATAGTATTTGCACTAGTAGTATTAAAAGATGATTAATGCAGGTTTACTCAGGTAGCTCTGTAATAAACTGTGCAATCTGTAGGTTAGACAAGAAGATGATCTCTGTAAAATCTGTAGGTTCCTTCCCAAAATATTTGTGACACTACCTAAGGAAAACAATGTATGTAATCCTATTTTCTGTTTTGACAACTGACACAAAAACCAAGTCTAATGTAACTATATTACATCAAGATCATTCCATATTAACAAGAGGAAAAGATACTGCCTTTTGACATTTCTAACCCCTGTGCATGATGTATTTAGTTTCAAGCTTTTATTTCTATCACTCAACAGGACAACACAAATACAAGTACATTTTTCTATATGTTACATTTAAATTGACTTTTAAATCTTTATAAGCTATACTATCAAGGAATTCTACCACATCCAGAACATTTGATCATTCTTAAATGCAATAATATGTACACGTTCATGGACAAATCCAAAAAATTGTTGATCAAGACTATACACTTGTTCAAAATTCCAGGCAATCTTGTCCATCAGCCACACCAGAAGTTCACTTAACTGCTTTTGGTTTCATTGGGAGTGGGTATGGGGAAGAGAACACAAATACTTTTCATGTTCCCCAGCAGTCAGCAACTCTAGTTCTCTATTCTATCTGAAGTTTTATTTCCAAACCAAGGAAATATTAGACACAATGTGTGCCAGGCAAAAAAAAAAAGACAAGGTAGAAAGTTAAACAAATAAATAATACATGCAGACAGATGAAGAATAAATTGATCGATGAGGGTCAAAATTCAAGAACAAGGCCGTGTAAGGCATCAACTATCTTCTTGGTTTGTACTACTGTATCTCTGTAACAAAGAATGAATGCAGAAGGTGTATTAATGGCCGCTCTGTTAAAATATGACAAAAAACTTGCATTTCAAAAATCAAACAAAATAGGAACTAGGAAGGTCCTGTTTGCCATAAAGACATAATAGAAGGTCCTGTCATTCTTGAATGAGCGATTCTAGTCGCCAAACAAAATAGGAAGCATACATAATAGTCCAAAACTTTCAAAGCTTCAAAGACTTTGCCACAAAAAGAAACTTACACCACTACAGCATTTCTACAAAGACTTTGCCTCCCAAGTCCCACCTGCTATATCTATTTGAAAGAAATGCCCCCTTGTTAGAAAATTAAGGTGAGTAAATACAAAATAGTCCAACATACAATATAAGCATGGAATTTAAAAACTTACCCAAGAATAAGCATAGGAATGGATTTAATAATCAAATATCAACCACGATTCTTTGCTCCGATGCACTCTTTGGTAAATCTAGAAGGGAAGAAAAAAATATATCAATTAATCATTTATGAAGACTAAACAAATATCAATTTATCATTAGAAATGGCATATGAAACTTAAACAAAAAAAGAGTATTACCATTTTTAAATTTGTCAATCTCTTCTAAATCTTCTTCAACATTAATTGCATGTTTTGATGACCGAGTCCAATCTCGAGTACATATAAGTGCTTCTGCTACCTTAGGTGTCAAAGAGCTCCTAAATGCATCAAACACTTGTCCTTTAATACTAAAAGTGGACTCAAAAGCAACTGTAAAAATGGGAATTTCTAATACATCACGACCCATCTGTGAAAGTATAGGGAATCTAAGATTGTTAACTTTCCACTATTTTAAAATATCAAAGTCGTCATTACCTTGTCCCTCTTTAGTATCTTCATTCAGATATATATCCAACTCTGATTTAGCATCTCCCCCTCCACTTACTGACTTGTACTTTTTAAATCGAGACATCATCAACATCTTCTTTGCTTGTGATTGTTGGGATTGCTCACTCTCTGTCTCACTTAAAATTGAACACTTCACATTTTCAGTAGTTTGTCCACTTCTCGTTTGAGGTGCAAACATACTCTTATATTCATTATACAACTTATACAAGGCTTTCCTAATTCTTTTTGCAAATTCTTGACCCTTGGCACTTTGATAAGTTTCATTAAGTACAAATTCCACATACTCTAATTTGTGTCAAGGGTCTAACACAATTGCAATATATATCAACTTATTCATTTTTTCAATGTTTCCCCAATACTTATTGTACTTCCCTTTCATCCTCTCTACCATCTCCCTTAAATTTTTGTCCTCAATGTTTACCCATTCTTGCAAAAGGCACTCAACTAAATTAATTTCATGGAAAAAGTTGTTTGATGTGACATACAAGGAGCCTAAAACCCGTACTGTGAGATCATAAAAATGTTGTAAAAATAGCATTAGCCTCCTAAATTCTCCCAATCAAAACAAGTAGGAATCCCATCCTCCATCTCAAGTTCACTTCTAAAATGAGGATATGATCCTCAAACCTCTCAAAAACTCTTTCAAAATTTTGAGTTGCATCCAACATTAGGCATGTCAAATTCCATCTAGTACTAACATCCACACACAACAAACTCTTACTTTGAATATTTTCAACCTCAACATATTCTTTAAATTTTTGCAACCTAGCCAAAGATTGCCTCACATATCTCACAGCCTCTCGAACACGACTAATAGACTTATCCATTTGTTTCAAGCCATCATTCACAACTAAATTTATAATGTGTGCAATGCACCTCATATGAAGCAATTTCCCATCTAGAATACAAGTTCCCCAATTAAAAATTTTCCTTTTCAAGTATGTAATTGCAGCATCATTTGAACTCGCATCGTCAACTGTAACAGTAAAGACTTTATCAATCCCCCATTCAATCCAATATTTTTCCACCGCCTTACCAATGGCCTCTCCTCTATGACTAGAAATTGGACAAAAGTTAAGAACCCTTTTTTTTCAATTTCCGATCATTATCAATAAAGTGGGCCGTTAAACACATGTAGTTGATTCTTTGCAAAGAAGACCATGTGTATGTAGTAAGACAAATCCTTTGGCATGAATTTTTTAGGAATTTCTTTAACTCTAATTTCTCATCTAGGTATAATTGGTAACAATCTCTGGCAATAGTCCATATAGATGGAATCTGAAACCTAGGACAAGAAAGTGTCATAAACTTTTTAAAGCCCTCACAATCCACAACTTGAATGGAAGCTCATCAACAATGAGCATCTCAGTTAAGCCCTTTCTAATGGCCTCTTGGTCAAACTTCCAACAACTAAGGGAATTCATCTTCTCATTGTTTTCACCATCCCCCTCCATTGCATATTTAACTGTGATCGTTTTGCCTCTAAGCTATAGGGGTTTTTCTTACATATGCTCATGTGGTTCCTTAATGAGCCTGTCCCATTTTTCTTAGAGTCACAACAAAATTCTCTATCACAATAGTTGCGCTTACCCTTTATTTCACCATTATCTGAGATAAATTTGGAAAAGTGGTCCCATACCTCTAACCTTGGCTTCATCACTTTTCTTTTTCCTTTAACAACTACATTCATCGAATCCATTTGGTTGGAAGGTCATGACCGGGGGTGTGGACTTCCAATTT